GGCCCGGTCAGGATGATCAAGGCCCCTTCTGACTGAGACCTTGGGGAAGCTGCTGGAAGCGGCAGGGGGCAGGAAGTATGGTACAGTGGGGATGAAGCACACCCCAAAGCTGGCCTGGAAAGCCCAGGGGTTCAGCAGGGTGACCGCCAAGAGGTGCAGGCTGAGCCAGGGACCTGCTCCAAGGACAAGCCAGGGTCCAGGCCCTTCCTGCTTCTGAGGGACTGTGGGGCCTTGAAGGGTGGCCCTGCCCCAGTGCCGGGAGACCTCTGCCCCCATTTCCACATCAGAGTTGCACTGTTTTGGATACACATCCCTCTCTCCAGGCCCCTGGGACTGTCTGCTCTGGAGCCAGGAACATAGCAGCACTTCCAGGAACCCTGGCTGGGGGTGGGAGGTGGCCCCCCTCCCTCCCAGTGTGGATGAAAACCCTGGTGTTTGCTCTGTAATCATATAAAAAAAATATCCTGAGAGAGGGCACATGTGAGCACGTGGGGAAGAAGGCAGGGGAAGAATCCCAAGACGTGGGGCTGGATCCCAGGAACCGTGCGATCATGATCGGAGCTGAAATCAAGAGGACCCTCAACCATCTGAGCCACCCAGGCGCCCCTAAATGGTGGTTTTACTCAAGCAGAGGTACGGGACCCGAGCGTGTAAGTACTGACCTGCTGTGTAATCATTCTGCCAGGCGGGTGTCATGCTTCCAATCCCACACAGGACCTTTCTCTTCCCGGTCTAAGGTCTGCCCACGGACTTTAGGCCCCCTCCCCAGGGAACCCGGGGCATCCACAACCCCACCCTCCTTGCCCCTTGCAGCACATGCTGCTGGAACACGTGCGGTGATGCCTCCTGGCCCGTGTCCCACCGACCACAGGAGCGGGTTCTACCTCCTCCCCCAAACCCGAGTCCCAAGCTAGTCCCCACTCCTCTGGGTAACCAGGAGGGCCTCAGGCCTTCTTTCTTACATCCATCCCATACACACTCCTGTCCCACAGGCCTCATCCTCCCTCCCTGAGAGAGGCCCTCCACCCCCAGACGTTCCTTTTATGCTCCTTCCTTACCTGTTTCCTGCAGAACAACCCACGAGGACGTCAGAGCTGTAGCCTGGCACGAGATGCACATACAGTACAGCCCGGTGCTGACCCAGAGCCATCAGAGGGAGAATCAGAGTGTCTACTGAGTGGTCTGGCATTGGTGGGCAGAGGACCTAAAGCCCAGGAGACTATAAACCACTGCAGGGCCAGGATGGTGGCTGGATGGGCACGGGCAGGCCTGCCCCTGGACCTAGGGGGCACATGGCCCAACATCACTGCCTACGAGCCCCTTCCTCATCTGGCCAGACCGTCAGATAGCTGTGGTAACCAAGCCTCAGAGCAGGAACGTGACTGCCCCGAGGTGCCGAGATTAAAAGTGGAGCTTGAACGTGAACTGGAGCCCGGACTCCACAGGGAAACCTACAGATCGCACACGCACCACCACACCTCTTTCTCGTGTGTAACTGAAAAATGCTCCCAGTCTTGGGGCAACTGCTGGCCTCCACCAGCCAGAGCCCCCTGAGAGCACTGCAGACCACCCACTACTGCCTTTGAAGTGTTCCTATGTGTCCCCTGAAGGCTTCGCTTCCTGGGGAGGCCCCGGCAGTCCTCAGGAGTCAGGACTGTGCCCAAGAAGGCTTACGTCCCCTCCAGAGCCTACTCAAGGATTGGCGCACCCTAGATCCATAGGAGGTGCCCCCCCCCATCCCAGGTAGCCATCTCTGCACCAGATCCCCAGTTCCTCACGTCACCAGGAAGGGCTTGGGTTTCTCCTGGAATGAAGGCCTGCCCACCCACAGTGGGACCCCCTCTTCCCCCACACCTGCCCTGTGCCAAGGCCGCACTCTTACAAAACACTCACAGGTCGCTCAAAAAATACGTAAAAAGGGTTTTATTTGCAGGAGAGCAGGACTCTAATCAAACAAGCCAAATCCCATGTCATCATCCGACTCCTCTGATTCTTCCTTCTTCTCGTCTTTCTTCTCCTCTGCTGTGGGGAGGAAGGGCACAGTGAGCAAGGCCCACAGCGCATGCCAGATTCCCTGCAGAGACCCTGCCCCAGCCTCCACTTACCTGCAGCTGGGGTGGAACCAGCAGCGGGAGCTGCAGATCCTGGGGCAGCAGAGACGGCCACCGCCCCACCAGCAGGCACACTGGCCAGCTTGCCAATACCTATGGAAGTCAGGGGAGAGGAGATCAGAGCCGGTGCTCGCCTGAAGGCCCCGTGGGGGTGGACAAGACAGTCTGCCCGATATAGGGAGACATCACCAAGTGCCAGCGTCACAAGCTTCTCTGTCCTCCCACACAGGCGGCTCTGCCTCTGCCACATACACGCACCCCAGCCCCCTACAATGTCCTGTCTGGAAACTGTCTAGGAATCCCTCCCTGCCCCCCCCCCCCAAAACACCCCTGGGTGACCACACCCACCCCAAAGGAAGCTGGACAAATGCATTTACATCCGGGACAGGACTAAGTCAGCTACGTGGGTCCAGATCCTCATCCCCAGCTGTTTGCCGAGCTGGCTGTGCCCCATGAAGTACACACACAGGGATAGAACCACCGTCCCAACAGCACCACTTCCAAACAATTCCATCAGCTGCAGCCTCATGCCACCAGAAAACCATCTGCCCGGCAAAGAGGGGCAGGGACCTGTGGTCTCTCCCACACCCAGTCGGTGCTCCCAACCCCCCGAGAACACATGGTGAGATCTGTTCATAAAACCCCAATTCCCGGCTGTCTGGGTGGCTTAGTCAGTTAATCCGGCTTCGGCTCAGGTCATGATTTTACAGTTCATGACACATCGGGCTCTGTGCCGACAGCGCACAGATCCTCTGTCTCCCTCTCCCTCGCACGTTCTCTCAAAAAATAAACAAACATTAAAAAATATATTTAAAGATGGAAATAATACCCAGTTCCGAACCCTGCAGGTGGGGTGGGCAGCCGGCCCGGTGACAGCACCAGCACCCTCTGCTGCCCTCCCACGCAGAATGTCTAGAAGCATCCCCGGCACAAGCCCACTGAAGCCTGCTCACTTCTCTGGGTGAGGCTTCTCGAGTGCTCTGGTCCACAAGCGAAACCTGGCAGGCCACAGGCTGACCGGCAGGGATTAGGATGGACCACGAGAACGAAACCCCCCAGCACACAATCTCACCCTGGGCAATGACGTCTTCGATGTTTTTTCCGTTCAGCTCACTGATGACCTAGAACCACAACCAGCAGTTACCAGAGGCTCACTACTGCGCCCCACACCCTAACTTCACCTCCTGGAACCAAGGAGCACAGAGAAAACGCCCCCGAGCCTCGAGCCCTGCCCTGTCCAGCCCAACCCTTATGGCCCGCACGTGCGTTCTCCAATCTAAGCCTGCCGCTAGCGGGAACCGGAGCACTCCCGGCATTTCCCGAGCAAGAATCGCACAGCATCTCGGTTTATCCTAGCCACACGCCCGAACGTTAGTGAGGCGGATGAAAGGCAACGTCATTAAAACGCGCCCTGCCCTTTCCACTTCTCTAACACAAAGTCACTTGGACGTTTTAAACTGCGCTGTAACTTCCATCTCGGGTCCCCGGAACCAGGCTGGAGTCCGCCTCACGGCCCCCCCACCCCCCCCGCCTCACTGTCCCTTCTTTGGGATCGCAGCAGCCCCACGCCCGCCCCGAGCACACCAAGCCGCGCTTTCTCAAGGGTGAAACCCGCGCCGCCGAGGCCACAGGCCTCCATATGCACAGCGTCGGGACAGCCGGGGGCTGCGGGGCCTGCGGGGAAGCTACCTTGTTGAGCCGGTCGTCGTCTGCCTCGATGCCCACGCTGTCCAGAATCTTCTTGATGTCCTTGGCACTGGGGGAGGCATTGCCCCCGAGGGCGGCCAGCAGATAGGAGGCGACGTAGCGCATCCTGAGGCGGGAGGAGACGGCGGCGGCGTGACTCGGAGGCCGTCCGCCCCGGTCCCCTCCAAGACCCGGCCGGCGCCTGCCCGCCCCTCCCCGGGACCCCCACGGCCCCCACTGCCCGCGCCCTGGCCCCGCCGCCCACTCACTCGGCGGCGGACTAGCCTCACGCGTGCGACCTCGGCGGCGTCAGGGACGGAAAGGAAGTCGCAGGCGCGGGGGGCGGGGGTAATCCGCTACCCAGAAGCCCCCGGGATCCGCGTGCCGCGCCGCGAGGGCGCCTCCGAGTGACGTCACACGGCGCCCAGGCGGCGGAGGCGGAGAGGCCTCGCTTCGTACAGTCCCGCGGCAGCAAAGGCGAAGGGCAGCTCCAGGGCCGCCTTCCTGTACCACGCGGGGACGAGTGTCCCCCGACCTTCTTGGGATGGCGGGACGAGCGAGCTTGCAGCGCGGCCGCGACTCCCGCCACACATCTCTGTGCGGCGGACGTGGCCGTCGCCGTGGGAGGACTGCAAGTCCCATGGTGCACCACTACCGGAAGTGCGGGCGCGCTTTCTGTGCCGACGCACGCGGCCGGCTGACTGCCTGTTGGTTCCTGGCCGCGGGGACTGTGGGGACCCGCGGTATTCCCGCGCAGCCAGGCCAGTGAGGTGGGCGAGTCCGGCCCGCGCTCACACTGCGGAGCCGAGCGGCCTGGGCCTGGTGGCTGCACCCCTGCGGGGTCGTGTGGACTCCGAACTCACCTCTGTGTCCACGTGCCACTTGTTCACTGCACGGTATCCGGAGCCCCGCCGCCGGTTGGCGTGGCGAGAGGGAGCAGGCCTGGCCCTGCTTCTCCGGAACCTAAGTTTAGAGCGCGCGAACACACAGAGTAAATAAACGAGTCGATCCAGACCGAGATAAGCTCGAAGGGATGAGGTGGCCCTGAGAACTGGGGCGAGCGCCAGGCAGAAGGGTCAGGTGCAAAGGCCTCACCGTGGCTGGGGATGGGTCCAGAAGCAGGAGCCAGCCCAGCCCGTGGGGGGCTGTCACAGCGAGGCCAACCTTCGGGTGTAGTGCATCAAGCACGGGTGTGTTCATGCAAACCACACGGTTCCTGTGGGCGGCCTCGCTGTCTGGCGCAGAAAGGTTTTCTTGTTCAAGGTCTCACAGTTGGGGTAAAGTGGGGAAACTCCTTGCAAGGAGGGGACTTCTGCAATACCTAGGGAAGTAGGTTGTGGTTTTTATTTTTAGAGATAGAATAATACACGAGACCTACCATTTTAATCACCCGATTCAGTCGTATTGGGTCTATTCACATTCCACAACTGTCACCGTCATCCATCACCAGACTGTTTTTCATCTTCCCAAGTTGGATTAGACAGTAACTCCCTATTCTCTCTTCCAGTTCCTGGCTCCCACTATTTTAATTTTTTTGTCTCTATGAATTTGGCTACTCTGGGGACCTCGTATTAGAAAAAGCACACAGCGTTTGCCCTTCTGGATCTGACCTTTCGCTTAACGATCTTCTGAAGGTTCATGCACGTTGTAACGTGTGTGTGCGCGTATCCCAGTTTTCCCTTTTAAAGCTGAATAGTATTCCTGTGATTTATTTTAAGACTTCCGGCAGCTATGTAGAAACTGAGGGGGGGACAGGAGCCAGGAAAGTGGGGGCCTGGCAGAACTGCCCATCCTGGGGGAAGGGACGGTGATAGCTAGGGAATCAGAGGAAAGAGGGTGCGGCAGTGTGGGCAAATGAACACAGGGACGGCAGGCTCTGAGAGTCAGACCTAGTCTGAAGTTCTCGGCTTTGGCTCTTACCGGCTATGAGTCCTTGGGCAAGATCTAATCTGTCATAGCCTCCATTTCCTTTCCTTCGAGGTGCAAAGATTGAAAAAGGCAACGTGCGGGGAAGCCCACTGCTGGGTCACTTGGCCCAGAGCGATTGCCAGTTAATAGGATCACAGGAGCTGGGACAAGGTCTCTAGAGGAGCCCCAGGAAGGCTCCGGGGAGAAGGAGGCCCCTGAGGCTGGCTGGGAAGTGGCCCGTTTAGAGCTCTGGCTTCTGGCAGCAGCTGCGATCGGCCCCCAAAGCCTTCCTCCGTGCTGAGATTTGCACCAGCTCACTCTGACAGGGGCCCAGAATGCCCAGCTCCGGCGCAGGGCGGGCCCGAGGGCCAGGAACCTCTGAAAGGGCGGGTTTCCCAGCCGCTACGCGGGCCCTCGCGGCGGGAGAGGCTGGACTGAGACAGACTAACAGGAAGCCGAGTGCAGCTGGGCTGGCGGCTGCCGGTTGGGGTCCGCGGCCGCGTCTCCGGGGCTGCAGGCTGGCAGAGGGCAGGCGGGGCGGGGAGGGACCCCGAGGCCGTTGCCTGCGGCCCCGCCACAGAGCTAGGGGTGTCCTGACTGGGCGGGACCGGGAGTCCCGGCCCGCTCCGGGAACTCACCGGCGGAAACCGGGCGCCGGACGCGCACCGGGGACCGCGCACAGCCTGGAAGGCAGGTACGCGCGGGGCGCTGGCGGGCGGTGGGGACGGTGGGGGTCGGGGGTGCTCTCGGGGCCAGGGCCGGCCCCCAGGCGGTCGGAGCTCTGAGTGTGCAGACCACTGCCTTCATCTTCCGACCGAGTTGCGAACGGGAAGCGTGGGAGAACCCTCCTCCAGCGGTCACGAAGTGGGGTCCCATCACCCCACACACACATTCACTTGTCTGACACGTGCCGGCACAATCACCCTATTCCACGTCTGGGCCACTGCCTCCACGCGGCAGATAAGAGTCCCTGACCTCTGGTCAAAGCTCGTGGGTGTGAAGGCTGGAGGTGGGGCTGGACCCAGAACTCTGAAAGGGGCGGGGAAGGGAGACAGCCAGGATGAGCTGACAGCTCCAGGATGAGCTGACAGCTCTAGGAGTCCCTTGTGCCAATGTCCAGAATTGGGATGTGAAGCCTCACTTCTCCCTCCTCTCCCACTACCCCCGCCCCAGCAGGTTTCCCAGGCTCCTCTGCACACAGGTCTCCCTGCGTGCTGCCCTCCTAGCTCTAGGGCGCTCATTTCCCAGCCCTGTTCCAGCAAAGATCTGTGCAGCCGAGGCCCTGGGCTCTGTGGGTCGTCTGGCCTGGCTCAAGGACTCCCCTCCAGCCGGAGTCTCCATTCCCCTGAGCAGGAGGAGGGCCCAGTCCCACTCCCTCCCACTCCTCCCCCTGACTCTGCAGCCTTCCCAGGCCCTGTCTGAGCAGGCCTGCTTGGCAGGCTGGGACATGTCTGGCCCCCGAGGACGGCCAGTGGGCGATGGCTGCGGTGGTGGAGGGGCTGGAGCCCGAGGCAGCTGCTACAGAAGATGCCGCACAAGATGCTGTAGATGCTGTGGATGCTGTGGACGCAGAACCCGGGGACCCCCCTCTCCTGGTTGGGAGCCGGCTGAGCCTGGACCTGTACCCTGGGGGCTGCCAGCGGCTGCTACACCTGTGTGCCCGGCAGTCCCCGCAGCTGCTGGAGGTGCAGTTCATGCAACTGAGCAGCCACGAGGACCCTCGGCTGCTAGAGACCACCCTGGCCCAGGTGCCGTGCAGCTTGCGGCATCTTCGCTCCCTGGTCCTCAGAGGTGAGCCCCACCTGGTCCCACCCCCTCACAGGGTGCAGCTGGCTGGGCCCGGGCTCCTGGACACCGCAGCTCCCAGCCGACCCTAGCGTGGCTGTCTTTCCTGGGGCAGGTCGTGGGTGATGGCTATCAGCCCAGACGAGCCTGCAGTGTCCGTCTGCTGGCGTCTCAGTCTGTCCCTGTGTGGGTGGGGTTAGGAGAAGTCTGTGCCTCTGAGCGGGGACCTGACTCTGGCTCTGAGGGCCACATCTGCCTTCCCCCTTTCGCCTTTCCCCTTTCCAGGTGGGCAACAGCGGGATGCGCTGGGTGCCTGCCTCCGGGGCTCCCTGACCACACTGCCTGCTGGCCTGAGTGGCCTGACCCACTTGGCCCACCTAGACCTGAGCTTCAACAGCCTGGAGACGCTGCCGGGCTGCATCCCCCAGATGCATGGTCTGAGCACCCTCCTGCTCTCCCACAACCACCTCTCCGAGCTCCCTGAGGCTCTGGGCGCCCTTCCCGCCCTCACCTTCCTCTATGTGACCCACAACTGCCTGCGAACGCTGCCCAAAGCGCTGGGAGCCCTGACCACCCTTCAGTGCCTCGATCTCTCACAGAACCTTCTGGACACTCTGCCCCCTGAGATTGGAGGCCTGAGCAGCCTCACCGAGCTCAACCTGGCCTCCAACCGGCTGCAGAGCCTCCCAGCCTCCCTTGGTGAGTAGGAGCCGTGGCCCTCTTGGCTCCCTGGGCCTGACGGGGAGTGCCCTGGCCTCCACTCTCACGTGGGCCCCCTTGTCCTCCACAGGGGCCCCTGCACACACAGGCTTGGCCCACCCCGGAGCCTCCACCCCCCTAGGTGATCCTTGCCTGCCTTCCCTTCCCCAGCTGTGGAGGCCCCTGCACAGACTTCCCAAGCCCCCTGAGTCTGGCCGGAGCGGGCGGAGACAGGACTAGTGCGAGTGTCCTGTCCTGGCCAGGGCTGGGGTGGCCCTGCGCAGCCCTCTGCTGGCCCTGAGCTGGCACCTGCCCGCAGCGGGGCTGCGGTCCTTGCGGCTGCTTGTTTTGCACAGCAACCTCCTGACCTCGGTGCCCACCAGCCTGGCCCACCTCCCGCTGCTCACCCGACTAGATCTGAGGGACAACCAGCTCCGGGACGTGCCCCCTGAGCTACTGGACGCCCCCTTTGTGCGCCTTCGGGGGAACCCCCTGGGCGAGGCCCCGCCTGCCCTCCCCAGTCCCCCAGGTAGGCCTGTTGCTGGGGGAGGTCAGGCCACAGACAGGCCGAGGGGGCAGGTGCCCTGGCTGTTCTAACAGCTTTCCTGTCCCTCCATAGGGACACCGACGATCCCAGAAATGCCCAGACTGTTCCTGAACTCAGATTTGGACAGGTGTGTTGGGGAGGAGAGATGGGGCCAGACAAGCGTGTCCTGGCCCTGTCACCCTGTCCCTGATGGACACCTTGCTCATGCCTCCGGGGTCTCCCACGGTTTCCTAGGGGTGCCCAACTCAGATGTACACATGCCTTCTGTGTCTGACTGGATGTCCGCCCTGTCATGCAGCTTCCTCGTGACCCCCCAAGGCTGCTCGGTGACCTTGGCCTGTGGCGTCCGCCTGCAGTTCCCTGCTGGGGCCACTGCCACCCCTGTCAGCATCCGCTATCGACTACGGCTGCCGGAGCCGCGACTCGTCCCCTTGGGTCCCCACGACTCTCTGCTCAGCCACGTCCTGGAGCTGCAGCCCCACGGGGTGGCCTTCCAGCAGGCACGCCCAGAACAAGTCAGGGGTGGGGTGCAGGTGATGAGGGCCCAGGCCTGGGCCCAGCGCTCACGCCACCCTTGCCTGGCAGGAGGTGGGCCTGTGGCTGCTCTTTGTGCCCCCGCGGGCCCGGCGTTGCCGTGAGGTGGTGGTCAGGACCCTGAATGATGACAGCTGGAGTGACCTGGAGACTCATCTGGAAGAAGAGACACCCAAGGTGAGAGCCACTGTGGCCCTACCCCCGCCTCCGCCCGACGGCTCTGCCCAGACCCCGTCCCCGCTCTGACCCTGTTCCCTCTGACTCCCGTCCCCCGTGCCCAGCGGCTCTGGGCCCACTGCCAGGTGCCCCACTTCTCATGGTTCCTCGTGGTTTCGCGTCCTGTGTCCAATGCCTGCCTGGTGCCACCAGAGGGGACGTTGCTGTACTCCTCGGGACATCCTGGGGTCAAGGTCACATTCCCCCCTGGGGCCACTGACGAGCCTCGACAGGTCTATATGCAGGTACAGGCAGGGCCAGGGCGGGCGGTGGGGGCCGCCTCAAGACAAAGGTGAGCCTTCAGGTGGCCTCTTTGCCCCAGGTGGTGCGCGTGGCCAGCGGGGAGCTTCGGGCCCTGCTGGAGGAGCCCGGGGCGGCGGCCAGCCCCCTGCTCTGCCTCTCCCAGAGCGGCCCCCCCAGCTTCCTCCAGCCGGTCACAGTGCAGCTGCCTCTGCCCCCCGGCGTCACAGGTGAGAGGCGGCCGTCCGTCCGTCCGGCCCACCTGAATTCCTGGCCGCTGGGTTGAGGGGGCAGCGCTCAGACGGGGAGCCCCTGCGCGGGTGGCCTCAGCCTCCCACCCCCTCGCGTCCCTAGGCCTCAGTCTGGATCCCTCGTGCCTTCACCTGCTGTACCGGACCCCTCCCGAAGCCACGTGGGATGACATCACCACTCAGGTGGCCCTGGAGCTCACCCACCTGTATGCTCGCTTCCGGGTCACGCACTTCTCCTGGTCAGTGCCCCCCCATCCCCCCGCTCCCTCGGCCCCTCCCCGCAGGACGCTCGTCCCGGCCACACTCAAGCGCAGCCCCGCAGGTACTGGCTCTGGTACACCGCCAAGACCCGCGTGGAGGGCCTGGCTCGCAAGGCCTGGGAGCGGCTGCGGCTACACCGCGTGAGCCTCATCGCGCTGCAGCGACGCCGCGACCCCGAGCAGGTGCTGCTGCAGTGTCTGCCCCTCAGCAAGGTGGGCGTCTGCCAGGGCCGAGGGGTGAGGTCCGGGTGCGGGGGTGCGGGCGTGGAGCTCCGAGCCAGCGGGCGCCCCCTCCCCCCCCAGGTGGATGCCACCCTGCGGCGGCTGCTGGAGCGGTACCGAGGCCCCGAGCCCTCTGACACGGTGGAGATGTTCGAGGGTGAAAAATTCTTCGCTGCCTTCGAGAAGGGTATTGACGTGGATGCTGGTATGCCCGCCCCTCCTTGGGGGCGGTGGGTGGACGCTGGGGTCTGTTCCCCAGGCTCCCCGCTGAACCCATCCCCGCCCCCAGACCGCCCAGACTGCGTGCAGGGCAGGGTCTGTTTTGTCTTTTACTCGCACCTGAAGAACGTGAAAGAGGTGTATGTGACCACAACCCTGGACCGACAGGCTCAGGCTGTGAGGGGCCAGGTGGGTCAAGTGGGCAGGGAGCCCCAGGCTGCCTGGGCAGAGGCCAGGACACTGAGCCCCACCTCATCCCATCCCCAGGTGTCCTTCTACCGGGGAGCAGTGCCCGAGGACGTGCCCGAGGAGGCCGAGGCGGCCCGGCACCGGAAGGGCACAGACAGCCCGTGGATGGCCACTCTGCCCATCAAGCTGCCGGTGTGGCCTGGGGTGGGGGGCAGTGTGTGTGAAGGGGGCAGGGGTGGCACAGAGGCCGGGAGCGGGGAGGCCGGGG